TTAAATCCTCATCGTTTGCACCGGCCACTCCACTATGATGTATTCTCTCTCTCATACTATTATTAGAGGGCATTACTCAGGTTTTCCATAAACTGTGCTGTCCCACCCTGCTGTCGTTCCATTGGGTCACACCTGAATAGTTACACCATATCAAAATGAGGATAAAACCAAACCAGCTCCACCCTACTTCTGCTATCCTCCACAGAGAAAACCTGTTGGCTTTAGCATCATGCTATTCAAACCTTAATATTTACGCACTAAAGGTTTTACACCTGATATAATAAGTGCGCCTTAAAAAACACACAATGCCTTTTACTTTGTATTTTTTTCCGTTTTATGCCACGGAAGAAGAACTGAGATTTTCTCAAATCTACTGTAAGCCAGTGTTAGACGCACTATACGCCCAAATCAGAAGTAAGCAACTGTTAATGGGAGAAAAAATAATCAGCTTCACTGCTGACTCTTTAAAAAGTTTATATGAAAAAAAAAAAGTATAATACCGTAAATTTTGGACTATTAGCCACACCTGAATATAAGCCGCAGAAGCTAAATTGCATGATTTGTACATATACAAGCCGTACCGGACTATAAACCGCAGGTTTTTATGTTTAATTACCATATGGTTCGTGCACAGAGAGGATTGTTGGGAAAGAGGCAACTGTTTGGGGAAGCTCCTATTTATTAACATTTCAACACAATTGAATTGAGACAACTCTTCCTGCTGGCATCTCCAACGTCTCACCATTGACTCGTTGATTCCAAGGTTACATGCAGCGGTTCCATTTCCTTTGTTTACTGCCAAATTGACTGCCTTTAACTTTAAAGCTGCATCATATGCATTTCAATGTTTGTCTTCCATAATGAGTGTGTCACAAAAACTGTCTCGCGCTCGCAATGTCCGTCTTTCTCGGAGTCTGCTTCCGGAGGACGTCCGCATTCCCGCGCGCGCGGCTACTTGTGTGTTGAGGCAAATGTGACGTCAACATGGTGGATGGTGAAATACATAGATTTAGGTACCGTATTACCCTAGTGGCCATTAGCTGTAAAAGTCCATAGATAAGACGCATTGTTATATAAGCCGCAAGGTCGAAAAAGAGTCGAAAAATGGGGGAAAAGTTGCAGCTTATAGTCTGAAAATTACGGTATTAACTCTCACAAAGCAAGGCAGCAGCCGCCTGACTGACTCCCCTCGATGTGGAGGAGCAGCAGCTCTGCCTATTTTTTAAGGAACGCTCATTTCAGCCGCTTATATCTTGGATCTCGCTCTTTCAGTCGTGATCCAGCTGTCATGACCACAGGTGAAGGCAGGATTATAGCCTGATAAAGTCAGCCTTGCATTTTGTTTCAGCTCTTTCTTCACCATAACAGAACTGTCCACATTAGAGCCGCACTGATTCTATCATGTTGATCTCCAGCTCCATTTTCCAATCACTTGTGAAAAGGACCCTGAGACACTGAGAATGTTTCACTGTCCTCTAACCTGGAGGTACAGCCAATCCTGGACTCAGACTTGGAGCTGTGAACCTTCCCAGCTGGATGGAGTCACCCGTTAAAAAGCAGAGAAAAAATCCACTGATGCCTAAACCAGACCTCCTCCAGCTCTTGGCAGCACCTAGAAATCCTGTCTAAGACTTATGAACATCATCACTGACTTTTTATTCCTTTACCCAAATGCACAATATATTTAGCTTTATGGTACAAGTAAAAAAAAATACTTAGAAAAACCTATCAGTCTGTTTCTGGTTGCATTGTTTTCATAAAATATCTAAATGTAGAATACATTAAAATAAGTTATCTTTACTTAAAGTCAAATTATTTTCATCAAACTCCATTAAAAATATCAATCACAGAAATTATTTTCTAAATATATAGAGAGAGATATTATTCAACACAATTATAACCACCTTTTCAATAACAAGTAGTTATAATTTGCCTTTTGATACATGAGCCTTGAGTTAAACATAGAATAAAGCCTGGCTATGAACATGATTGGTGGAACTGTTACTAGGTTACCACCAATCAGTATGAAGCTAATAGCAAACTTTCTTAGTGATGAAACTTTTTGCTGGGCGGAGAAAAAATTTAAAAACCACCTTTCTGAGGGTGTAGTACTATATTTCCAAATGTAATCTCTTTGCTCCTTTTACAGACATCTCAAAGACTCGATGCCCAAGTTTTCCTTCACCAAAGCCAAATTCTGCCTAAATATCAGAAATGTTAGTCAGTATTCATATTTCCAAGCAAATATATCCACCATTAAATCAGGAGATCTGATAGATAAACACACACTTTTTCAGCCTTATCAAGAAATAAAAGCAATTTACAGCCTTATTTTAGCATTTCATCAAGAAACCTTTTTTTAAGCGGATAAATATCCCATCTTTGTAAGTTAATCATGACATTTAGGCTGAATGAAGGAACTGTTATGATCATATACTGCAACGATAAGAAAATCAGCTTCTTTTTATCATTTTTCGTCGAGTTGGGGTTCAAGTACCTTAAATATCCCATCGTTAAATTATAAATATAAATTACCCCAGAATGTCAGTTTAACCCTTTATAGGGCAAGTTACGGTTTTTGATCACTTGCATACCCCTCACTAATGGAGTCCCCCCCGTCACTCAGTGAAATCTAGAAGCAAAAGATCTATATCCAGCCAAAGATACTGCTACATGGCTGTACATCTTATTTTAGCATTTGACCAATTAGATGCGCCCTTAAATCAGGCATCCCCAATGTCGGTCCTCGGGGGCCGCTGTCCTGCAGGTTTTAGAGGTTTCCTTGCTTCAGCACAGCTGATTTTAATTACAAGCTGATTAACAGGCCTTTGCTCAATTACAATCATCATAATCAGCTGTGCTAAAGCAGGGAAACCTCTAAATCCTGCAGGACAGCGGCCCCCGAGGACCGACTTTGGGGATGCCTGCCTTAAATGATATATAAATGATTACCCACTGTTGATTAAGTTGGAAAAAAAAGTTAACAAGCCAGCATTCATAACATGTAGGCGAATCACTGTCCCCCAGACATCCACGGTTATATTTTTTATATTTATATATTTTTTTTAAAACAAAGCAGCGCGTGTATGACGTCATCCGCGTGCGCCTGACTGGAGTTGTGACAGGCAGGCGGGCCACAGGCGGCTACGCTCTACCCCTTATATTCATTCGGATAGCTAACCTAAATCGTTCAATTCCATTTGGAGAGCGAGATCATCTGCGGTAGCAGCACTAAACATCTTCCAGGCATGTGAGAAAAACTAGCAGCAGTTCAGCCGACAGGGTGAATGAACGGTAGCTGGCGCACACGGATGACGTCATACACATGCAGCTTTGTTTTTAAAATATATAAATATAAAAAATATAACCGCGGATGTCTGGGGGACAGGGATTCGCCTACATGTTATAAATGCTGGCGTACCATAAATAATAAATTATGAACAGTTTAATTTGTGCCTTCAACTCGTTGCCCATAGGAAGATGTTACTTGCATATAACCTAACGGAATATCTTCAGAACGGCTCCAAACGACATAAAACTCATATGGGTGAGTAGAACATGATGTAATAACGTAAAATCAAGGGCCCAATGTAAAAAAATGACGTTCCCCTTTAATATATCCGGGCAAGTTGGCGTTTCTTATTCCCTTGACATTCATTATTGCCATGAAAATCTCCATATTTTTTGAATGTTACAGAGTTAATAAGGTCTTATCCTGGATTCCAATAACACACTAGAAGAATGATCTAAAAATTAGTGAAAATGTCTAAAAATAAGACATAATTTACTCTTAATTTGAGGAGACTGCATTTTTTTCCTTATTTTAAATGTTCAATTTACATTCAATTTACTGCTCAACTCAAGAAAAACAATACACTTATTTTTAACCAAAACAGACTTACTTCCTGAGCTATCTCTATAGTTATGCTGCTATAGGTTTAGACTTCTGGAGGACATAGGGACCCCCACTACATCATTCTGCCTCTACTCTCCCAATCTACAGAATCTGTTAGTTCAATATTTAACGTTATGCTCTCTCTGCTTTTTCTCATGGTAGCTTCATCTGGTCTGTTCCTGTTTGGCTGTGACTCCATCATGGAGAGAAATATCAGCTGTGCTGCTTTCATCAACACCCTTGTTTATAGATGCTGGAGATCGGCCTGTTTTCCAATGTGGTCCTGTTTCTCTGACCGTGATTGGCTGGATGTGCTCTCTTTATCCTCTGACATGGGAGCTGGCTCGGAGCTCATCTGCCTGGCTGTGTGTTTCCTGGACGGTGCCGCCTTTTACATTTGCTTTCTGTATATCTGCTTCTGTCTCCTTAAACCCCAGTCGGCCTCGGTAGATGGCCGCTCACACTAAGCCTGGTTCTGCTTGAGGTCACTTCCTGTTACAAGGGAGTTTTTCCTCTCCACTGTCGCTACAAGCATGCTTAGTGTGAGGCATTGCATTCGAGTCAATGAGTCGATGCAATTAGCTGGTTTTCCATAGATAGAAAACTTTGAATCAATCTGACTGTATGATCTGGTGAACTGTAAAGTGCACTCTTTCACAGAGAGCCCTATAAAGGGTTAATAAACCCAATTATTTTCAACCTAAATGCATTAATATTTTTAAGTATCACTTTCCAATTTGCACGTCAAATCATTCACTTTGCAGCGTTTATTTTATTGGTAATAGTTCTTCTAACATCTCTCATGGTTTCCTTCTCTCCAGAGGAGACTCTTTGATGTTAGCATCAGAATATTTACAACATGTCCGACCAAATAAACCGGAGAGGTAACTATGCTTAAGTTAGCAATAGCAGCCGCACTGAGTCACCGTCACAGAAATCACTTCCACCATCACGCCTGATCCACAGACTCCATGAGCGGGGTTAGGCTTTAGCTTACCCGCCTGCTCACACATTCACCGACCAGGTGTTTCTGATAAATGCCGCACTTTGACACACTCCGGGATTTCAACAAAAAAAAAAGCAAAGCGCTCTGTCATTTACTTACCGAAAATACGTCCACGTCCGTGGCAGCCATGGTGTGGAATGTGTGTTAACGGCGTGCTGAGAGGCAGACTGAGCAGAAGCGAAAGGGAACTGCCCTCCTCTCCTCTCTCCCTACTTAGCCTGCTAGACTAACTGAAGGCGAGCTGACAGGGATGGGAAGAGAGAGAGGGACACCAGGCTGCGGGGAGCTGCTAGCTGCTCAAAGACCAGACTTGACAAGATAATACCCTGCTGAGTTCTTTCTTCTTCTTCTTGTGAAGTTTTATGGCGGTTGGCAAACTAGTTAAAAGTGCAATAACTGCCACCAGCTGATAAGGAGTTAAACAAGGAAACAGGAAACAATACTCAAATAAATAAATAAATCCTAAACTGTTAAACTTAACCCAACTTAAAAAATTCTTAATCAAAATCGTGCTCATAATTTTTATTTGTCTTTTAAGTTATCATCACTCATCACTGCAAGATACTTTTCTGCAGCTTTCACTGTTATTTTTATTTTTTGTTTTCCTTGTCGTCTGAGCACTACAGTTGATCACTTCTACCATGAAAAGAAAAAAAAAATCTTTTTTTTTTTTAACAATCAATTAATCTTCTTCAATCTTTGGACACTGCTCCAGAGGTTTTCATTTACTGAACTGCTGGTTTGGGTCTTCTTTTTCTTCTTCTTCTTGTCTATAAAAGCGGATCGCAAGCAACTTTAAGGCGGATACCGCCA